TTAACAACGACAGTTTTACATCTTCGATCATACATCCAACCAGCCAACCAACCAACCAACCGACCGACCAATCAACCAACCATTTAACCAACCGACCAATCAAACAACCAACCAAACAACCAACAAACCAGCCAATCAACCAACAAATCAACAAACGAACGAACGAACCAACCAACCAACCAACCAACCAATCATTCAACCAACCAATCAACCAACCAATCAACCAACCAACATAATCTGACCTACCTACCCTTTTAATATAACATACAAGTACTTCAAATATGACCTAGATAAAACGCATGAGTCACCCAAAATGACTATCGTCATCAGCATCATCAACAACATTGACCTACATATGACCATAGAAGCAATATAATCCAGCTAGTTTCAATGTGATTCGCTGACATTAGCAGCGACAACAAAGGTCGCTTGTTGCGCTTTGAATCGTCGTCAGCTTCATTATCGCTAACTTCATCATTTTCCATCTCATCATCGTCGTCGTCGTAATCATCTTCATCTTCATCACACTCTACGTCATGACTATGAGTTTTTTTTAAATGTCAATTTTCAAGAAGAAAAGTACAGCGTTAAAAAAGTTTTTTCCCACCAGCACCATCATTTTGCTGCTTTCATCATCGTAACTTCTTCATTATTGTTGTCTCGTCATCATCACTTCACATAATCATCATCGTTTTCATCATCATTGCAATCAACGTATCGTAATCACCTGAACAATCAAAATGTCCGTCAAAAATTGTTATTCTCCTAATAAGAATTGTAATCATCATCATGGTCGTCATCATGGTCGTCATCATGGTCGTCATCATGGTCGTCATCATGGTCGTCATCATGGTCGTCATCATGGTCGTCATCATGGTCGTCATCATGGTCGTCATCAACATCATCATCATCGCCATCTATTTCCTTTTCCGTCATCATTTTTTCTATATTTTTGTCATCATCAACTTTTGAACAATTCTCTTTTAGACATTTCTCAGGGGTATAAAAAACAAAGAAACAGCAAATGCACGTGCGGGAATGTATGCGCCACTTACATGCAAGCCGTGTGTGGTTACGGGGATCTTTCGGCATTTGATACCGGTCAGTGCAACATTAGTGGCAAGAACCTTAATTGCTACACCATTGCGCCAGTGTTAGATCTTTAATCATTTTTTGTATTTTTTTCATCGTTTTATATTTTTGTTACCATTTTGATCATTTGAACATAAATCATCATACATTTAATAATATTCCTTTTTGCGTCATCATCTTCATCGTCATCATATCATCATCATCATCATCATCATCTTCATCGTCATCATTTCATCATCGTCGTCCTCACAAAATCCCAGAACTCTGCAGTTGAACTAACAACCGGCTATTTAATGATACAATAAAAATGCACACACACACACACACCACACATACACACACACATACATACATACATACATGCACACATACATACATGCACACTCACATACATGCACACTCACATACATACATGCACACATACATACATGCACACTCACATACATACCTACAAACTTATACTCACACATATAGCTCATTGTAGTCGTTAGTTTTATCTTCACCAACTTAACGATCGTTCAAAATGCACCTATGCTGGGAAAACTTATATTAAAAGACCATAACACACATATACGGACGCAAACACACATAGGAATACACATATATACGCACGCACACACACACATATACGCACATAACTAAAACTAATCAGATCTATACTTAAATATACATATTCATATATATTACGCATGAAATCAGCAGGGTATATTTTATTTACAGTGTTTCTCAAATCTAGTAAGTAGGTTTCATGCCAGAGTTCATTCATAAGATGTATCTTAATTAATATTATTTTCAGTTAAATTGTCAATAACCATAATTTTTTAATTTAATGACACTGTGGAAAAACAAAATAACGAAAAACCCAATTCCAGTTCAGTTTTTCAGGTTTTTTTTATCGTTTTAATCAATTTTCGCTTCAGCAAACTTTCCCGTTCAAAAAAAAAAAATTTGATTTAGTTTTGCAGCCCAATTGATAATTTTTAAAACACGAGAGTGGAACGTGTTGGTCATCTCTCGTTCGTTCTTTCAAATTTCAAACCATCCAACATACCTCCATACGTGTTTTACGACAGAATTTTTTGCTGGCTCGTGTAAATCAACTTGGAAAGTTTATAAAAAAATGCCACGACACACAGCTGCGTGAAAATCTTGTTATCATTAACACCACCATCACCATCATCATCGTAATTATCACCATTGTCATTTCCATCACCATCTCCATTATCTCCATCATCATCATCATACCATCACCATCATCATTATCATCATCGTCGTTAGCCTCGTTATCATTTCTATTATCCCTACCATCATGTTATATCATTATTACCACCATCATGTTTTTTTGGTCAATACACTCAACTACACCCAAAGTAGCACCTCAACAACTTCACAGCGGTATCAATGCCAAACACACACACACCACACACGCACAAACACATACACACACAGACAAACGCACACACACACACACAAATACAGACTGACACCTTTAATGTTGCCAGCGACAGTTTAAGCATGAACACTCTCTGAATTGGCTGACGTACAATTCATTAAACTGAATGAACGAATGAACAAATCCGTGAATTAAAAAAAATGAACGAGGTTAAAAATGAATGAACAAACAAATGAATAAATGAAAAACTAGATGATATGAATGAATGAATGAATGAATTAATTAATTAAATAATTCGGTTTTTGATTTGAACGAATGAATGAAAGAGTGAATGGATGAATGAATGAATGAATAAATGAATGAATAAATGAATGAAAACGAATGAATGAATGAATGAATAAATAAATGTATTTCTTTGAACTATTGAGTGATTCTTCAACGAGCAGTGCATGCAAATAAATTCAAGACAAAACTAAAAAATTTATTAAATGCAGCTACTGATTGATAAAATATTTTATTTAATTTATTTTAGATAACATAAATCTTGAAAAGTTCTTTCAGAAAAAAAGCAGATGCAGGAGGAAAAAATGACGAACATGCCTTTAAAGGATGGACTATCGTGTCAAACATCTTCTCAACGACAAGCCATCCACAAACGTTTGCAGTCAGACTTTTTGAACTCTACAAGATATTCGCAAAGAACTTGCCATTTATAGATTTTCTCATTCAAAATTCATAAATTTTCAAACTGCAGCAGTTAACAAAACTTTTAGTTTTATTTTATTTTCACTTCCATCTTTTCACTTTTTCACTTTTCCACAGTTTAAGAAAAAATATTTGCTAAAAAAAAACAAAAAATATTTTTTTTAAGGAAAAAAGAAGCTTATGAAGGATTAAAACGTTAAGTGTCCATAGAAGGCATTACAAAGAGCCTCTTCAACAGCATAAAATATTATTTTGTCTCACGTATTTATATTATGCACCACATGTTACAAACACACATAGACAGACAGACAGACAGACACACACACACACACACACACACACACACACACAACACACACGCAGAGAAAGAGAAAGTGAGAGAGAGGCAGACAGACACACATCCATTTTTCTGGGAAGCTTCAGGCGTGCATTGTTTGTTAATTATTTAAAAAACAGAACATTTCTGTCTGGTTTGACCTAGAGGGTTTCAAAATATTTTGATTTCAAATTGAACTGTTGATGGAAGAATTTTGTGATGTACAACACTCACCAACTCAACTCATCAACGTGGAAAAACACTATGTGTGTTTGTTTTTGTGTGTGTATGTGTACATGTGTGTGTGTGTGTGTGTGTGTGTGTGTGTGTGTGTGTTGGTAGATCTATGTTCGCATCATGTGTTCGCTCTTCAGAACTCACTTCATTCGATCAGCTACCACCGCGCAATTTGTTTTATACAACTCAAAGTTAATAATTAGCTGTTAATGTGATAACGAATGGTCACGTAAAGACAAGCACACAAACACACACACACACCCACAATCACACACACATACAAACAAACACACACTCACACAGACACACACAAACACACACAGACACACAATCAACAAGTTACACTTTTTACTGACAAGAAGCGTACATTCCATTTCGTCGGCTTGTACAAACTTCAAAACGATCCACTAATTTTCCATCATTATACTTTGGTCGTTTTAATAATTTCACAATTACATCTTTCACGGGCAATTTGTAGCTGCGCTGCAAAACAGTCGTTTCAACGTATTTCAAATATACATTTTGAGAAGTATTAGTTTGAAAAATTTGTTACCCGTTGATAAGCGCTTGTAAAAACGAATTCTTATAAAGAAAAATTTCGACACTCGTCAGTCAAGTTAAAATACTTTTATGCTAGCACAATTTTTTTTTAATAAAAACAATTTATCACGAAAAATGCTAAACAATTAAAATTGCATAACAGGTAAAATGTAGGATGAATTATTGAGAAGTTGAATGAAGGATGTTTTCAAGCCATCTAAGTGCATGCATCTTGCATCAACCAGTAAACTAGCTTCCAACTAAATTTTTCCTACTTGAAAAAAATAATCACAACTTTCGCGAACATGAAACATTTTAAGAGGGTATAAAAATGTTAATGCAAATAAATAAATGCATCCAACAATGTGGGAGGACCATAAGATTACGAGATGACATTTTATTCGAGTTCGTATAAACAAACAGCTTTTATGCTCCATTCGTTCATTTAATAACCCAGTTATTTACTTTTTATTTCATTTTTATGTCTGCAAATCAGCAAGGAGGAAAAAATTCCTCGTCGGGTATATCTTGAATGTTTCTTTTTGGTTGTTAGTTGATAGTAACGTGTTGTTTGTATGTGGTTTGTCCGTTGTTTGTAAATTGTTTGTACGTAGTTTGTATGTTTGTTTGTTTGTTTGTCTGTACATGCTGTTGATATGTTTGTGAGTCGTTTGCGTGTTGTTTGTTTATACATGTAATTTACTTGAATGTTATTTGTATGTTACCAATTTGCATTAAGTTTTGCATGTTGTCATGGTGTTACTAGCAAGTTATACGAGTTTTTACAATTGTTGTCTGTGAGATGTTTGTATATTGTTTGTATGTTGTTTGAATGTTGTCTGTAAGATGTTTGCATGTTGTTTGTAGGCTTAATTTTTATTTCTTGCTCTTTTTCTTTCTGGCTTGCGTGTTCTTTGCATATTAACTTCTCTCCTTCCCGCTTTGTTTTTATCTTCCAGCTCATCAGCCAAAAAATATTCATTTGAAGTAAATGCTACATTATAAACATAGCTCATTGTTTTATACACACAAATGTCCACAAACATGTGTGTATATATAGGTATCATGTATCTAACTTTATCTTATTTTATGCGTAACTGTTAAAAAGTATTGCATGAATCCAACCGAATTGTTGGCATTAATCAATTTAAAGTTTGTCTTCAATTTTCCTTACTAGAATTTTTTGGAAATTGATCAATTTTAAAGAATCTATATAAACCAAACTTGCACTGAAGATGATTTGTGAAAAATTGAAATAAGGCCTTTTAAAATAAGGCGTTGATAAAACGTGTGTAATGACGATGAAACATGGTTATGAAAGGATAGAATGATATCACGAGATAGGATGATATCATGAGATAGGATGATGTCATGGAATAGAATGATATCATGAGATAGGATGATATCATAAGATAGGATGATGTCATGGGATAGGATGATATGATGAAGTGTAACTTAACACCAGTTACTACAAAACCTAAAGTGCAAAGTTAACTGACCAGGTATTAGCAGGTATCTGATGGTATTAGCAGGTATTGGCAGGTGAATGTGAAAGTATTAGGCCTCTATCTAGTGCACTGTCCCAATTAAAGGAACTCATTAAGTTCAATTAAAATCTTTCTTTCGTGATCATGAACATTATTTTGAATTAAAAATAGAATTGTTAATATTAAAATATGAATTATGATGGTAATTCAATTTTTATAAATTGGACAATTTTCAGAAAATCTAGTAAACAAATTGAAAAGACAAACTTTAAATTTTTTAATGCCAACAATTCGGCAGAATTCCGTATAATTGAAAATTAATTTTGTTACTGTAGATGTGTTGTTTGATTTTTTTTCTTAGTTATATATGTGTTTGTTTTTGTTGTAATTACTGTAATTTTGTTGTTGTAATTACTGCGGTTCAGTGGCCTTAAGTTGATATGTAAATATCATATTAATCAATCACCTTTATATTGCGGTTATTGTTGTTGTGGTTGTTGTTGTGTGACGTGTTTATTTGTTGTCGCGAAGATTGTTAGTCATGTTTGCGCGTTTTTATTTGTATTTAATGTTTTTTCAATTATTTGTATCATAATATCGTTGTAGTATTTTTTGTAGAGACAAATTATTAGTTAGAATTGGAAAGAAAAGTAAATATAGATGAAATTATCCTGCCGAGATGTACACATACACACACACACACCACACACACACACACACCACACACACCACACACACACACACACCACACACACACACACATACATACATACATACATACATAAATACACGCGTACATACATACACACATACATACGTATATACATACATACAAGCATACATACAAAGAATAGAATGGGAACGTGTTTACCGATGCATAAGCATCACATACACAAGCATAAAATCACTGAATTTATACTGGAGCAAACACGCTTGAAAACTTACAAATTTATTTATTCATTCCTTCTTTCCTTCTTACATTCATGTTTTTAATTATTTGATAATTTTATTCATTGTTTTAATTCATTTGTTTAATTAATTTATTCATTTTTTTAAACTACACAACAGTTTACTACCATTCATTCTTTTAACAGCTTTCTGTTATTGAATATTTTTGGTTTAAATTGAACAAACAAACAGCCGAAAAACGAATGAACGAACGTATGAACGAAAAACAAAAAAATAAGCAAACGAAATCATTCTCTCTCACCTCGACTGAGTTCGTTCTTTAACAGCATTCCAAGCGAAAGATTTTTTGGCAAAATAATAATAAAATGCGGGCTGATATGTGATATGTTTTCATAAAAATCATTTTATATTCAAGTTTATTTTGTCAGTTCGTTTAGTTTGAACGTTTTTTTGTGTTTATTTGTGTTATCACTGACTCCGAATGATGTTATTCCTGTTATGTTTGATACGTTGTTTTATCATGCTTACTATTAATATGTTAAATATTAACTCAAATATTAAAGCGGATATTGTTTCGTTGGAGTGTACATCTGTGTGTTTTGGCTTATGCATATATGCTCGTGTGTGTCTGGTTTCATCTAAAAAAAATTATCTCTATTAAGTGGATACAAAGTATGCATGTACTAACAAAAGTTAGCCACTACCTTGGTCGAAAACACGAATACAAAAGCATTTGCATTCAGATAAGATAATATTATTCTTTCTATTGGAACCAGGAAAAGTCAAAAATGTCCATAGTCCATGGAGCAAGAAATTGTACTAAAATAGAAGAGGACAACAATGTACAACACATAATATGAGTAAACATCACTTAGAAATAATAAACAACACATAGAACCAACAAACATCACATAGAACCAACAAAAAACACATAGAACCAACAAACAACACATGGAACCAACAAACAACACATAGAACCAACAAACATCACATAGAACCAACAAACATCACATAGAACCAACAAACAACACATAGAACCAACAAACATCACATAGAACCAACAAACAACATATAGAACCAACAAACAACACATAGAACCAACAAACAACACATAGAACCAGCAAAAAGCAATCCCATAGTATGAATGTACATTGTCGACAATTCAGGCCGATGAAGAAACATCGGCAAAGCAGCATCAGAGCAGGGCAGACATATCAGCCAGCCATCCAGCCAGGTATCACTTCCATCAATCCAGTTAAATATTCAACAAGGAACGACATTTAGAAGTAAAATATCAAACCACGTTTTCAAACTGACTCAAATATTTAAATTCAATTACATTCACACATTTTAAAATAATGTCAATGTTTTTTTTATCTAAAAAGTTTCATACCTTACAATAAATATTTTAAAATAATTTCGAACTCGTTTGAGAAATAAAGAAAAGAAATTAATTTAAATTTATAAAATAGAAGATTTTTTAAAACAACGTTAATAGATGCTAGTTTGGTTTTAAAAATTAATAAAAATATGAATTGGGAGAAGACTGTTGTGCTTGCTTAGTTGTTTGATGAGTTTGAACAGGTGTTGCCTTACTTCTTAAATATTCATGACGAGTCAACAAAAACCCAAAACAAAAATAAAACAAATTCATACTTGAGAAAAAGAAAAAAAATTCAATTAAGCAGAATGCAAAACAAGACAGAATGGAAAAACAAAAATGTAGATGGATTGCCTGTAATTAGTGCAGAATTGTTTGCGGTTGGAAGAAGCAAACAACAGAAATATGTCCTGAATGTTCTTCTCCTGCTATCAAACTAATGCTAACCAGTTAGTTATTCTTTCTGTCAAATGAATTAGGAACATTAGCACAAAAACAACAACAACTCCATCATCATCATCATAAACAACAACAACTCCATCATCATCAACAACAACGACAAACAACTCCATCATCATCATCATCATCATCATCATCATCATCAACAACAACAACAACAACAACGACAACAGTTGCAATTTCTTTAACCTCCTCGCGATGCAACTGGGGGGCAAATAGCCTCGAATGAAGAAAAATTGTTAAAATCCAAATCCCGAATGAAACTCAGGCTGTTCAAGTATGTTTGTGGGGGCCAGTTCAATTCTTTTGTATCAGACAGGTTTGTCGCCAGCCGCATTCCTGTCTACACAAATACAGGCTGGAGGCATTTAGTTAAGCCCTGGTCGTGGAAGGGGCTTCAAATGCAACAAAGCTATACACAAAGACCAGGATTACTCAGAGGGCAACAAATGCAAGCCTTCTCATCATGAACATTTGAACAAACAAGAAGTGGCCCAAACACAAATCTTAAAGAAAAACAAAAAGACTAATGAACGGACATGTAAAATGTGTACTCAAAATCGCACTAGTGATGAAGAAACGGACACCATACAACATGATAAACTGCAGGTTTTTATCAAACAGACACAACCTGATGATATTGTGGTGGTACAGAAAATTAAGCTCACCTTAAATGATAGCTCGCCATCGTTCTCAGGCTATAGCAGCGTCAGAAAACAGAGAGTGCTGAATCGTCAAAAAGAGGGAACGAGTAGAGAAGGAGTGTTATTGGCACTGATTGGAAGCCATATATCATATATGTTGCGTAAGTACAATAAAATAAATAAGATTACTTAATGATGACGATAGATTTAAACTGAAACTTCCCACCAACTGAAATTTTACGTTACAAATAAGCTCACAAAGAAATCAAATTTCGAACCAATCCAACGTGTTGACGTGTGCATGAAAAATATCAAAGCCATCACGCGATAGCACGTCACGAACAACAACATCAACAACAACATCTTTCCTCAACAACAACAACAGAAAAAACAACATCATCAGCAAGATAAAAAAAAACAAAAAATACTAAACTTAAAACTCGAGAAAATTCTTCAACGTGATCTGAAACCAAAAACTCACGCATACCCAAAAATGGATCGAACGACACCCTCGTCACCATTACTCTTTCGAATACATCGTCTCATTCGTCATAATCTGCCAATCAACCAAATCTCCACCACTTTTGTTTTTGTCATCACCATCATCACGTACATTAATATTCATCATTATAACTTTTATCACATCACATCAATATATACCTCTTAATTTTCATCATCATCACATTTGTATCAGCAATCACATCAGAATTTTCGAAATTATACAATCGTCATCAGTTTCTTCGTCATTTCATCAGCTTTCGTCGTGATTACTTTATTATCATATTTCCATGTCATCATCATCATCATCATCATCTTCTTCTTCTTCTTCTTCTTCATTGTCTTCTTCTTCTTCGTTATCATCATCACCACCTTCTTCGTCATTTTCTTTTTCATCATCATCATCTTCATCATTATCATCATCAATGTAATCTCATCTTTCATCTATGCTAACAATATTTTTTTCCAGAGCCCCCCTATTAGCAGACAGCCAGAGGAAGCAAATGAGATGCAACAACCTTATCTGGAGGAGCATCAAATAAAATATTATCGTCATTATCATCGTCATCATCATCTTCCTCCTCATCATCGTCATCATCTTCCCCCTCATCATCTTCACTATCATTTATGTCCAGTGCACCAAATTTTCATCACAATTTCATTTTGTCACCGTATTATTATTAATATTAGTAGTAGTAGTGTAGTAATAGTAGTAGTAATAGTAGAAGCTGTAGTAGTAGTAGTAGTAGTAGTAGTAGTAGTAGTAGTAGTAGTAGTAGTAGTAGTAGTAGTAGTAGTAGTAATAGCAGTATTAGTATCCAAATCAATCACAATTTTTAGATGTTAAAATTAGTCAATAATTATTTTCACGTTCAAATTATATAATCCTTAGATGCTCTATGTATACATTAATACAATGGTTTATATTCAAATTTGTCTATATATTTATTGATCCATTTTGCATGTAATTGAACGCCCATATTTTCAAATAAGAACGCAACATTTGCTGTTGGAGACCGTAGAAAATATTTCCAAGGCACAAGAATTATGACAACAATGTTTAAGGATGTCTTGAGTGGTCATATTATATTGTTCGTTCCAGGTTCCATACTGAATGGTGATTCATGATGCCGACGGATGTGTGTATGCCTGTGTGTGTGTGTGTGTATGTGTGTGTGTGTGTGTGTATATGTGTGTGTGTGTGTGTGTGGGAGGGGGTGTTTGTAACGATATATGTTTCCTTGTAACATACAATACATGTGTGTTGTGTATGTATGTGTGTATATATGTGTTCCTGCACGTGTGTAAATATGTAAGCTTGTGTGTGTGTGTGTGTATGTGTAGATTGTTGTACGTCCTATATTAGAGAGATGCGTGTGTATGTATGTGCTTGCTTGCATCACATCTCTCTTTAACATGTGTGCTGTAGGAGCATAGGGAGCGCTAACATGGCCGTAAAAACCTGAAACCACTTCAAACTTTAAAATTTTTTATAACAATGTTTCTAATGGATTAGGAAATTAAATTAAGAAACTTCTTAAGAAACTTATTCACGGCAATTATTAAAAGAGACCTCACTAGTTTTATTTAGAATTAATATTGCTTATAGTTCTAATGCAGTTAGGCAGAAATTGATTAGAGACCTTATTGGCAGGTAGTGGGGTGCCAAGCCAACAGACCCTACTGCACCGGGTGCCTGTGACCCTTGGCTTGCCACTGTGTTTAACGTTTCTTTATAATTAACTGCAATGTTAGCAAGTGTGAATTTATTGATGTTCGTTGTATTTATTCAGCGAACGTTCGTCCAACAGCTCACGATATTATTGTAAATAAATGAAGAAATATAGAGATCAATTAAACGTGCGCAGGTTATTTTCTTCCTCGAAACACATCGTTAACAAGTCGCTTGTGTTTGTTATTATCATCGTCGTCATCATCGTTGTCATCTTCACCATCATCATTCTCATCATCATCATCATTCATCAACGCGTTAGATCAAATATAAAGGAACAAATACGCGAACAATGCAAACACGAGACAAGCGCTTGCCACTGTATATAATGTCTTATTTCTCTCTCTCTCTCTTTCTCTCTCTTACTCTCTCTCTATGTTTTATTTTAATTTATACATAAATAAGTTTGTGTAGGCTTATGTGTTTGTGTGTGTGTTTGTATTAGTATGCATGCCTCTATAGGCAGCAAGATAGTGTAACGGTTGAGGCGCCTGTTGCATCAACTGTCTTCGAGTGTTCAAACGCAAAGTGGTCCTGGACTATCACAAGCAATATGTGTGATGTGTTTGATTGATGTGAATTAATATGCACTGGGCTGTGTGTGTGTGTGTGTGTCTGATGTAAATGTTGTTGTGTGATTGTTGATGCGTGTGTTTGTTGTTGTGTGTTGTTGTTGTTGAGTGTGTTTCCGTGTATGTTGTGGCGTGTATATTTTTGCGTATGCGATCAATCATTTAGACGTATTGTAACTTTGCCCGTAAATCATCATCATCATCATCATCAGTCCATGTATGGCAATCTTTTTCCCAATCATTGCTTTTTTGTGATCAATTGTTTTACAGATTATTATCTTCATTGGCATCAAAACTATTATCATCATCATCTCATCATCATCGTTATGGTACTCCTCATCTCATCACTATCATTCATCATCATCGTCGTCGTCGTCATCATCATCATCATCGTCGTAATTATCATCATCAAATGTAATGTCCAGTTCGTTCAATACCATCCACCCATGCAGCTAAATAATTTTTTTCCATTTTTTTTCCAAGAACTATTTTTATTTAAAAAAAATTTTTGCCATTTCTATTTATTTTAAAATCTCATCGGCAGATAAAACAATGCCAACAACAACAACTACATTCTCTGCAACAACATCAGCAACAACAGAATAGCACGCACAAATCAAACAACATGATAGCTCAACATTTTTGACAGCTCAATAACAACAAAACAACAACATCCATTAAAACACCGAAAAAAACTTCATCAGATGCAACAACAACAACAAAAACAACAACACAATAATATTGTAACATAAAAAAACACACAATAACTTTATGACCACACCACAAACAACAACACCATCACCAAACAACCACTAAAACAACAAAAACAACTTCATCAAATGCAACAACAACAACAAAAACAACAACACAATAATATTGCAACATAAAAAAACACACAATAACTTTATGACCACACTACACCACAAACAACAACACCATCATCACACAACACAACAAACGACTCAAATTTTTTTTATATTTTTTCTCGTCGTGTATCCCGTGCTATATTCCTTAATATTTAATTAGTTGGGAAATCTGCAACACATTCTTCCCCCTTACAGTTTCCCTCTATACATGCTGGCTCCAAGGCAAGTAGTAATGTCACCAGAAAACTCCTCCTATGCAAATGCCGGTGTAATCACAAATTCGATACGTTTCAAATGCAATACCTATATCACAAAATAAATACAAACTCAAATATAAATGCAAATCAAATCGCAACAAATACAAGATACAAAAAATACAAGATACAAGACATAAAAACAGTACATACATACAAAATTAGAATACAAATACAAATTTTATACAAAATATACAAAGAATAACACGCAACAGCACAATGATACAACCAGCATATGCATCATTCATTTCATTTACATATCCCTTGATACATCTTCATCTTTGTTACACCTAATTATCTCTATATGTCTCTCTCTTTATCTCTCTTTCTCTCTTTCTCTCTTCACATATATTCATATTTATATGTATATGTATTTGTATATATATATTTGACATTTTTTATTTCATCAAATCAAAAGAAAGAAATCAAAGAAATGATATCAATGAAAAGAAATGATCTGGAAATCGAAAAGAAAATATGGTTTTCTTGTAATGATCGCCAGTGACAATTGTATAAAAGAGAGCATATTTAAAATATTTTAGTGCATGTAAACTCACATTCATTTGCAAACTTTAAATTTATGATTTGTTAATTTGACTTAATTTTTTTCATTTACCCGCTATTTTTATATTATAAAGTATACATTGTATATTCGTTTAATGTACATTGTGGATAAACTGTTGACTTTTGACAATCATTTCTTTAACTTATTGTTACTGGATTTTGAGAGTGCCTGTGAGATTTCATTTAATAGGCGCTATACAAATGCATTTAATAATAATAATAATAAAAATAATTCATATTACAAATCCTAAAAAACCAAAAAAGGAATCAAAATTATTAAGTAATCAACTCTTTTACATTTTTATCAGAATGTCGTTAGTAATTATTGAAACACAAATAT